ACAAATCTCTCCATCGTTTGGAACACACTGCTGATTGTCCCCCAATATCTGTTCTCAGCCCTTTTTTTTTTCTTTTATAGACCTTCAAATGCTTAAGTAGCTATAGGACCCAGAATAATGGCTACATTTCTAGCATCCCTTAGAACCAGGTCTTACTAAGCCAATGGGACTGTTATGGTCTGAACGTTTACAGCCCCTCAAAATTCATGTGTTGAAATCTAATTCCCAGTGTGATGCCTGAAGGGTGGCAGAATATGCCATCCCAAAATGTTCTTCTTTGGCACAGGATTATTTTGAAAGGCAGGAGAAGCTCTGAAAATAGAGTTGAAGTTACCGTTTTGTAAAGGAAATTTATATTTATAAAGGAAATCTGTTTGTCAAGGTGCCTCCCTCTCCGTACCAGGAGAAGACGGATGACTAAATCACAAGAAGCTTTTATCAATGGAAAAGGCAGAGACTTAAACCTGCGTAACAAACCTTTTGTTTACCCTACTTTTCCTGGCCACCTCCCCAGAATTGGCCTCCCCCACATCTTTCTTTCTTCATTAGCTGAAGATGGTATTTAAGCCTGAATTCTAAGCCATCTCTGACAGTTACTCATTTTTCTCCTGGATATCTCCCATGCATACATGAGTCTACATGTTAAAGTTCTGTTTTTCTCTTGTTAATCTGTTTTTTGTTACGGGGGCCCCAGGCAAGAACTTAGAATAGAGGAGAAATTAGTTTTCCTCTCCTACTGGTGTTATTTGGAGGTGGGCCCTTTGGGAGGTAATTAGGTCATGAGGATGGAGCCCTGTGAGTCAGGATTAGTGCGTGTATAAGAGGCCTGAGAGCTAACTTGCTCTCCCTGCAATGTGAGGATAATATGAGAAGGTGGCCATCTGCAAGTCAGGAAGAGGGTCCTCACAGAACCTGACCATGTTGGCACCGTTCTTGAACTTCGTGTCTCCGGAACTGTGAGAAATAAATTTCCGTTGTTTATTAGCCGCCCAGTCTGTGGTATTTTGTTATGGCATCCCAAGCTGATTAAGACAGGGATGTAAGCATTTTTCAAGATGTGTCCTTGTCTGCTCATGCACACATGTACACACATACTCACAAGTATCTATCTATCTATCTATCTATCCCCAGCTGGTCATAGTACATCTAAACATCACCTTCTCTGTGAAGCCCTGCCTTCTACCTATAGGGGAAAATAATTGTTGTAACCTGGGTCTGTGTTTCCATATTTCCCTTTCCTGATATACACAGTCTTGTCTCCTTATGTCATATTTGTATGTGAATCTGTCTCTCCTGTTTGACTCTGAGCAATCCTCTATTTTATTAATCTGTATAGTATCGACACTCAGATGTACTTGGAGCTCAAAAATGTTTCCTCAATAAAAAAAAATCTTAAAACAAACAAACAAACAAAAAAACCCTCCCCCAATTCCCCAATTAAAAAAAAATCTTAAAAAAAAAGTTTCCTTAGTGAGGAATGCAGGAAAGGTAAAACTTTTGAAGTTGTGGCTTATCTTCTTATCAAAGCACTATGTTTTTATCTACTTATTTCTCAAAAATGTAAAAAAGCTAAAGGAATCTGAGCATCAGAGAGGCTAAGGTTACTTATCTGAGGTCATTTGACTTCCCTTCATCTCAGCTTCAGGTGGGCTGTAAGGTCCTTCTCTTAATCTGCAAAATAAGTGGACAGATAGCAGAGAAACAACTAAAGGCAACCAGCTGTACAGAAAGTCAAGAATCTTGCACTTGTGCTGTAGGCTCCTGGTAGTGCTTTCACTCCTGGCTGATGGTTAATGGATTCAATTGAGGAAGGAAATGATATAAAGAGAACAGGGATCTTTCAACTTTATGCTGTAGAATTCCATAGAAAATAATCTTGATATCATTTTAATCAGGACAATGTGAAGTCACACGGAAGGAACCCATTAGAATTGTGGCGTTAAATGGCAAAGGAATGGAAGAGATTTCTTTCATTGTAAAAGCCAGAGAACATTTCAGATGAAAAGCAAAGTGTCCACATAGTAAACAAGACTCATGAGAGAAATTTGAGTATATTGGATGCTGTAATTTAGATTTTGTCAGATCCAAGGGGTATTTTCAAAGCACTGTGGCTTCAGCTTGTAAATGATTGTGCAAGTCTTTAAGACACGAGTAACATTAAGAGCATAAAATGCAAGAGGGTCAAGGACTGACCCTCCTTTCAAGAGAAGGACTTTGGGTTTGACCAGAAATTTTCAAAAGGACTCATGATGAAAGGGGGAGTAAGAGAAATAAAGATGTCTTCATGTCTAGGTGGTGGGATGGGGGCTGCAGAATTCCTCTGTAGACAGGGCTTAAAAGTGGTGATTTCTTTAAGGAGAGGGCCAGGGGATTTATCTTGAGATTAAGCAAGTACACTGATTTGCTTATATTTTATGATACACACAAATTAGCAGAACAAAGTTTTCTAAAGATGCCTTTATTTATATTTTACCCAAAGAGAAAATGTCACTTGTTCATATATTCAGGAACACCCCCCGCCTGCCGTAAGTTCCATGAGCCCTTGTCCCCTCCATCTTCCCACACCATTGCCACAGTAACCCAAGAAGGTGGAAAACAGGAACAGCTGGAGAAAAGACCAATGTTATTGAGGAGGGAACCAAAGACAAATTGGATATTTAACCAACAGGTTTAGAATAAAAAATTTCAAGGGATTAGCAAATTCTCTCTTTAAAGGACAGTTTAATGTGGTCTACAGGTTGGGGGTAAGGATTTGAGTCACACTCTGAGACTCAATAGACACACAAAGATGAGGAAAATTGTTGGGAGATGAGGACTTTTCCAGGGAAGGACCCAATCACTTTCTTCTAACATGGAACAGAACAATTTTCAAGTGATATACTAGACAATGATACAGGGCTGAACTTCAGTGCCTGGGAAGTGGATCAAGTCAACACCCAAATGAAAGCCTCACTAAATTATGCTCCCTGAATATGCCCCCCTGCTCCATATGGATTGGAGATGGGAGGATTAGATGAATACAGGGAGTTATGGGACCATTACTCATGAAAGCTGCACCTCTGCAATTCCATCTTGAGATTTCAAGGCAAGGCAGTGGGTAAAAATATTTGGATCTTCAACCCCAAATTTTAGAATTCTGTTGCCTTTTAACCCAGAAACAGGGTTTTGTGGGCTATTTGACTATAGAGAAGCCAAAAGGAACAACTTGGTGCCCGTTTCCCAAGTAAGCCAGAGGCTCAACAAGCTTTCATTACTGTAGTAGCTCTTGAGAGTTCAGAATATTTCACTAGTGATTTTTGTGCAGAAATTTTTTGAGATATTAGAGATAGTTATCCTATGTAAATACTGCTGAATTACTGGAATCTTGAATCCATAGGGAGAGGTTTAAGATTCTGTACTCTAATCCTCTATTTCTTAATTCTGAGCTCTCACACAGAGGCTGGCTGCCCCGTGCACTTGGGTCCAAGGACTAGACGGGGGGCTTCCAGCTATTACCTGGGGGTGGGGTGGGGGGGAGGTGAATGTTCGAAACAGTAAAAAAATAAAGAATTCTTGTGAAAGAAAATGGAATTAGAACATTTATGACTACTTAAGGAATAAAATGAAGGAATGTAGATTTGGATATCACAGGGACCTCCTAATGGGTAGAGAGCTGAATACACTTCAACAGCAGAGAAAAAAGGTGTTCTGACTACAGGATGTGTAGGACTTTCCCTCTCTGAGCCTTTTCACCCCTATCACTCCACCATCCACGTTTCTCTAAGCGCTCTTTGTTTGCTAATTAGCAGAATGTGAAGATTTTTGCTGTCTTCAAGAAGAAAACCAATGCTAATTAAGGTGTTAACCAGTTTAAGTGGTACATTAGTAGAGAAGCAGGAATGGGTGTGATCAGCATAAAAGTGGTTAAATTGTGAAACCATGCTAGGTGGGGTGTAATGCAGAGAGGTCTTTGCTCTGTGCTCAAGTCCTCTGGGACAGTAATTATGCCCGCGCTCACTGCATACCACAGCCTGATGCAGCCCTGAACTTTGGACTTGACTCCCAGGCCTAGCCTTCGGGGCCTAATGCCCTGGGGGTTGTGGGCTGCAGGGCACTAGTCACGTGGGCTAAGGGTCCACCAGGCCCACGCAGTGATAAGGAGCAAACTGGCTGCCTGGTTTCCCTCCCTTCTACATGAAGGACAGTCATCTGGGCAGAAGCCCGGTGTTGGTGTGGAGGCTGAAGGTGCAGCAGGGACAGATCACCAGGTGGGCAGGGCTCCTCACTGCATATGCAGTCTCTTCCGTGTACCTGCACACTCATGGGCAGCCTCCTCTCCTTGTGCACACATGTACACATGCACTCACCTAAACATGCCCGCATGCACACTTGTCTTTCTCCTCCACGTGTACACATACACTCGTGCATGTACACACACTTCCCTCCACGTGTTCACACACCCAGCCTCCTTCATCCTTCATGTCTGCACATCTGCAGGTACACACACCACCTCCCTCTCCTCCGTGTGTGAACATAAACCTGTGCCCACAGAATTTGACCCCTTCTGCCTTTGTGTACACACCTGTACCCCTCTCTCCTTTGCATGCACATGTGCACATACACCCAGCTCCCTTTCCTGTTTGCAATATACATATGTGCACACACACAGCCAGCCTTCCACTCATCTGTATGCATATACAGGTGCACACACGAGGCTCCCCTCCTTCCGACCACTGTCTCCCATGTGCGCACAATTGTATACACACGCCCCAGCCCCTGTCTCCCGTGTGCGCACACGTGCGCATCCCACGGGCTTTTCTCCCCCGCGCGCGCACCGCCGCGCACTGGCGCCAATCCCTGCTGGGCGCGCACGCACACGCGCACACGCACAGCCCATCCCCCTCGGAGTCCAGCGCGGGCCGCCCTGGCGGGAGGAGGAGGAGGAGGGAGCCGAAGGCGCGAAAACGCGCGCAGGCGCGCTGCGGGAGCCGGGCCGCCCCCCACGTCACCGCGCCGCGCACGTCACGCCGCCCGACGCCCGCTCGGCAGGGTGAGCCCCGCGCCCGGCGCCTCGCAGGGCAGGACCCTGGGCCGGAGCGCGCGCCGGGACTGCCCACGTCTCCGTGTCCGCGTGTCCGAGCCCGCGCGTCCGTGTCCGCGCCCTCGTGCCTATCCCCGCGTGTCCGTGCGCCTACCGCCAGCCAGGTGCGGCGGGCAGGGGGCGGCGAGGGCTAGGGTCCCGGGAGGGGCGCGGGCACGCGGGGCGCCCACCGGTCCCCTGTCTTCCTTCCCCGCCGCGTGCGCGCGCCCCTCCCGGCTCCCCCGCCTCCTGCCCCTGGTCCTGGGCGCCGCCGTCGGGGGCCTCCAGGTGACCCGGTCGTGGGCTCGGGGGTCCCGGGTCTTCCTCGAGGCCTGCAGGTGGCCTTCAGGCGGAGCAGCAGCGCCAGCATCTGCACCCGGCGGGGGTCGGGGTCCGCCGGTGCGCACGGGGTCTAGGGGTCTGGGGTGCGCGGAGGCGGCGCTGACCCGGGCTTGGCCCGCCCGACTGCCGGTTCCGGTGCGCGGGAGGCGCTCGCGACGAGGCGGCTGCGGCCTAGTGACAGGCCGGAGGCCGGACCCCGGAAGCCCACCTGTCAGAGTTACCGGCCGGCCGGGTGGGCGAGGGGAGCGAACCAGCGGGACCGAGGCACACCTTGGGGTGCGCGTTTGCGCAGCGACAGCGGGGCTGCGCCAGGGGGGTGGCTGGGTGTCCTTAGTTGCGCCCAAGTTGCGCGGGCGCAGGTTGCCAGGCCTGACCGGGTGCCGGGTCTTTGTGTGGGCGTTGGGGAGGACGGTTCTCCAGGGGGCCAGAATGGGCATCCTATTGTTGGATGCATTGCCATTCTTTGAGATGAGTTTTAAAATCCCAGGTGTGGGGGGGTTTTGCCAGCTGCGCTTTGAGGATGGAGTGTGGGTTTGGAAAAGAAGGTGCCTGCTGCCTGGAGGGACAGTCAGGATGCTGGTGGTACTGGGGGAAATGTTGCTATTACCTTCTTTTTTCATTCTTATTCATTTCTTGTTTTTCCTTCCTTCTTTACCAGGAAAATCATTTTTCTTCTCTGGAGGGTGAACATTTATAGCATCGATTTCACGGATCTGGTAACATGGCAAAAGATGTAAGTATGTTTGCTTGGTTTTACAGACAGATGTTTGCCTAGCACTGCATTCTTTGTAGTTTTCCCATTTTATTCAGAACTGCAACACAAACCACAGTAGTTTATTTTCAGACTTTTAAAGCAAATGAAATAGGATAAAGGCGAACAAGATGAAAGGAATCTAACAGCTTTTATGGAAATGTTTGTGATTTGCTTGTATACATGGGTTTTCAGTATTAAACACCGGGTGACAAACATTGCATGAGGCTTAAATGATATCACTGACTTTTTTGTCATCTTTTCAGAGGGTATTACAATTTTGAATATCTTTGTTGAACACCTTAAATTCAGTGAGATGGAAGGCTGGGACCAGGGGTGACTGGTCATGTGCACAATGACCCTGAGCACCTGTTTGGTGGAAAGTGTAGGAAGCTAATTCAGCTTTGATGGATAAAGTGCTGAGCACTTGTTTTGTCCCCCTTTTTCTTCTCAGAAAAATGAAATTTGGTGAATAATGAAATGTGAAAAATCCTACTTTAGCTTGCTTATTATTTGTCATGAAACAATAGAATATACTGAACAATTTTTTTAACTTGTTCCAAGAAATAGCCTTTTAGGTCTAAAAATGTAGACTATTTTATTGGTTATGTAGTTCTTACCACACTTTGTAATATCAGTTAAAGTCACTCAAACCCCAGTTTTGTCCTTTAGTGTTTCTCAGAATGTATTGTTCTGTAAACATTAGTGAGAAGAGGCTGTTTATTTATTTACTTATTAATTGCACAGAGCTGGAAATGTAGCTCAGATAAACTGCATCTGCCTGAAACAACTAGAGGTAGTAAAAACGTGTCTATAATAGGCAAATAACAGACGTTACGCCTTTCCATCAGTTCAACAGTTTTAATATTCTCTAAAGAGTCTGACTGAGAGCACCCTACGCTCTCACTGACTATCAGGCATGCACTCACATTTGGCTCCTGTCTTCCAGCGCTGGGTTTAATTTGGTGAAGAGCGCATGAACACACAGTTGCACCCTGTGAGGTGTGTTTTAAGTTAAAGCCATTATCCATATATAACATTAGGTTGATTTTATCATCTCTAATTGCATTTTTTGGTGATCATGTACACACCAAAGAGGCAAGACGGGTAGTATGTGCTCAGTGACAAGAATAATTAGGTATCTATAAGAGGGTGCTGCTTTACCCCAGTGCCTCTGTTAGGGTGCAGCTCTGGGGTTGTGTGTTTCAGGGAATCAAGCTTAGTTGCCCTTTTTTATTCACTAGCTAGAGGAGAGGGAGTGACTCCTTGTTTGAGGGGCGCTCTTTGATTGCTTGTTGGCCTCTGGGGGATGTAAAGACAGATAGTAGGTGCCACTGCCGCCTGGTTGTAGGGAGAAGGACTTGGTGAACAACCTTTTCTGACGTTCACTTCTTGAGAAGCAGCCCTGCAAAAGGGGGCAGCTGAGGGCCACCTAGTGGCTGAATGGTGGGGCGGGTTCCCCTGTAGCTGATGATGTTGGGTCATGGGCGCTATGATGATAATGGGGTAGTTTAGGCTGAAAAACAGCATAAGGAGAGGTAAAGTAGCCTTCCCTATCCTGAGAGCTGGGTGATGTCAGGAGTGGCTGGAACCAAGTTTACCAGGACTGGGAGATCAGGCTGGAAATGGAGATTGTGGCCAAGTAAAGGGATTTATTTTACTTTGGCCTTTTTTCTAGTTTCCTTATCTTTTTAAAGCAGGGGAGTGACATTTGAGTTTGGAAAGATGACTTTGGCAGCCAGTGTTGGAGGGGAAAGCAGCAGTAGTTAATTTAAGTTGTGGCGCTTCAGTTTTTCTTAGGTGTAAGATCAAAGGCCATAAGCACAGGTGGGAGCCTAGCCCCTCAGGTTAAAGGGGAGTGGGCTGGGACCCCATGGGAGACTGTTGGGACCCAGGGAGACTAGAGGAGGCTGGAGTTAGGTTTGGGGGGTTATAGTGGAAGACAAACTTAGAGGACCAGTGAGGGGGTCAGCCTGGCAGATTTTGGTGAGGAGGATGAGGGAAAATGGTGTGGCAGCTTCTTACCTCCTGTGGAGGTCCAGGGAGACCACCAGGTTTTAGGGTGCAGCCAGGGAAATGGGTGGACAAGAGCAAGCCCATTGACTGGGGGTGAAGGGGCTGTGGGCGTGGGTGGGTTTTAAAGGTTAGGAGCCATCCATTGAGGGAGAGGGGAGTTGGGCTGGCCTGGAGAGGGCCAGCGGAGGTGTAGCAGGTTGGATGGCAGCAATGCCTGTCCTCCTGACAGGTGAGCTGGACCACACCAGGGCCGGTGGGCAGTTGTCTGGGCATAGATAGCTGTTGCAGGTTAACCAATGTCTTTGGTCTGAGGGACCCAATGTTATCTAGTCTTTCAGAAAGACTTGGAGCTTTTCACCCATCCTGTTGTACATGCATCTCAGATGAGAATTCTGCACGAGCCAGGCCTGCTAGTTCCTGTGTGCATTTCATCTGCCTCAGTTCTTGGTCTGTGGGATCAAGGCGGAAATGCCTGAAATTATGATCACCTGTGCTCCTTTTTTCATGCATCCATTGTTTGCTCTTTGTTGAACACCTGTGCCCAATGATGAGCTTCTCATGAAGCTTGCAGTTCATGGGAGATGGCTGTTGTCAGCCAGGGGTTGGGCACCTCTCTAGGAAGCAGTGCCATTTTCACTGAAATCAGGGTGAGGAAGAGACCAAGGTGGGTGTGTGGGGATCGGGGAAGAGCATGGGACTGGGGCCCCCATGTATGTGCTCTGGCACCAACACCTTATGTCTTCTTTTTCTAGAACACAAATAAATACTTGTATATTTAAAAAAAGCTGTGTAGACTAAACACTGTAATTCATTTGTTTGAAAAAACGCCTGCATTTTTCCAGCAATATATGAAAATAAGCCTGATTCCTTGGTGATGAATACTTAACATTTCATTTTAAAAGCATGTCTCTTTAGCCGGAAGTGTGCTAGGGTGTGCATTTAAAATGGCAGGAATGAGTGGGCTGCCTTAAGGTGCCCTCAGGGTGAGTCCCTGCCTGTCCTCCTGCTTCCCTGGTTCTTCTCTGGTCAGACAGAGAAGGGAGACGGCACCTGGGGAGCTGTGGTGGAAAGGTGGAGGCCCACTCTGGCCTGTGTGGGTGAAGCCAGCGGCCTGGCCTGGGAAGCAGACAGCAGTGGGCACAGGTGGTCAGAGCCTTCACTCTTACCTTCAGCGTTCCTTTATTTGAGTTAAGTTGGCGTGTGCTCGAGGTGAACAATTCAAATGGTAAAAGTTCAGATTTACTATTCATATGTGATGTGCAGGGAGAGGAAGCAGAGAAGGAAAGGTGCAGCTGCGCAGAAGCACAGAGTGGAAGTTATAAAGGCCCCAAGCGCGGTCCCTCCCCCAAGTGACCACTGACAACGGTTTGGGGGGTTATTCCAGGAATTTCAGAGAATTATTGGCATTTTGGGGAAGAATTTCTATGTTGTGGGGACTGGCCTACACTTACAATGGTCCTTTTCCCGAATCCTGAGATAGCGCGTGAGGCTACCCTTCCTTGGGTTTGCCGGCCTCCCGGAGGGTCAGTGCAGCCTGGAAGGGACCACCATTCAGTCATTAAACTTCCCTGGGGTCTTCATCATTGCCCTCACGGACCTGGTGGCCGCTGTGTCCATGTTGGGACTCACTGGCCGCACTTAGGCTGTCCCTTTGAACTCGTATCCAATGCTCAGGGACCATCCTTAGATGTGCATCTTGGAATGTTTTTCCATAATTGCTATAGAGAGAATCTAGGCAGGTCAGAGGGCAGGGCGGCAGGCATTTCAGTCACTGCTCTGGAACTGTGTGGATCTGTGTTCCCATAGTCGTGAGCCTATTTCCTCTATCACGGGGCCTTGTCACCCTGCTAGGTGAAAAATGTACTTGATTGCTTATTGACTGAAAGAACTAGGTATCTTGAATTTTATTTTGTGCCAACCACGGGTCCTGACTGGGAAGGTTTGTCTTGCTGAGAATGCAAGTCACGCTTTTTAGCCCTGAAGAAATCTCCTAAGGTAAAAGTAAACTTTAAGGGAAATATAAACATTACAGTTGTTAGATACATACTCATTGTATTAAAGATTGAAATTGTGTGAAGTGGAAAGTGGAAGGCATCTGACACGAATGTGTGCACACCTGTATGTGTATGCACGTACGTGTGTCCTTGCCTGACCATCTTCCAATCTGTAGCCCCCTGTGAGCCTTTCAGTGCTATTAGCATTTGGAAAATTGAGGTTATAAGGAGGTAAAGGATCTGCAGAGCAGCCATAGTTCTTTTAGAGCTGAGCTGGAAGGGGCAGTGGGTGAGGGAGTGTGGGCCACAGAGGTTCAGGTAATTTCTCAAGGTCACAGGCAGAGTCTGTGTCTCCAGCTCCCAGGCTCGGAGTTCTTCATGGCCCCGGAAAGGGGGAGGAAGAGTGGCATCGCCTCCATCCTCACCGGGAAGATCATGTTCTTGTCCTTGTCCAATATCGTGAAGGTTTGTAAAGAACAGGGAGGTAGATAGTTGATTTGTAAAATAACAGAGATGCTTTTGTGGGGAGATGTCGAGTCGTGAGTTAGCCGACTGGTGGGGATTCCCAGGCCCCATCTCTCCACGCTTCAGGTGTGAGAGCAGAGGGATGATAGCCTGGTGCAGCCATTGAGCCCTGACACGGACACCTGGCCCCTCGGCCCGAGCACTTGGCCACAGGACGTCCTGGGGGAGGAAGATGCCTCAAATCCCAACGTGATCTCTGGCTGGGGGCAGTGCTGGGACAGCTGGCAGAGAGGGTGGCCGTGTAAGTTCCTATTTAGAGTTCATAGGCCTCGGTTTTGAAAGCTGCTCTGTGAGTCCACTTATGTTCTGTGAGTTTGTGGACAAATCCCTGAATTATATTATTGAGAGCTGGAGAACAAAGAAAAATGCATCCTAGCTACGCTTTTGAGGGATGCTATAACGAGGCCTGGTTTAATACCAATAGGAGACTAATGAGCTTATCTAAAA